TAAAACCCAACCCCCCCCCCCAAAAAAAAATATATCAGTATATTCAGGTCAAGGTCATTGGTCATAAAAAATCAATAATTTAATATATAACATACATATATACAGCTTTAAATATACCTCCCCAAGCAAAAGATCGAGTCAATAAAGAAAACAAAACAATGATTAATATTTTGCATTCTATTTTTTATTAAATTTCATTATTCTAAAATAATAATTGTTTACAAAACATTTTGTACAACCTTTGAATCTTCATAACATAAGACATGGCCTCAATGTTATAAAACATCTTTTCTGAGTTCTGTCTCAAATCTCAAGTTTTTCACTGGTCGGCGTACATTTTGAGGCAATTTTTTACCAATCAAATACCCGAGATCTGAGTTTGAGGATAGACAATATCTTTATAACCTTGGCCTGGTCTGACAACAAGCCTTGAGATCCATACTACATAAAGGCAACAGAAATGTACCAACATAATACTATATCTCATACACATAGCAGCTGTGTCACTGTAACACATTACTCAAACGAAGCCTACATTACCTCCCTTTGAAGGAGATTGTACATAATTGTGGTCTGTTCACTGCTAACTTTCCTTGAATTTAACTTGATGACATAGATATTGATTCGAAAAAAAAGATACATGTGATTACTTGTCTTTTCAAACAGACTAGGAGAATATAGGTATGCTTGTCAGGTGAATCTAGGGACACTTTAGGGAAAACAAATTCTTTAATGTAAAGAGCAATTATATCTTAACCTTTCTAGCAATAATTTTTTGGGGCAAAATAGGGCTTAATGGCACACCGGTGACAGTCAATATTTTTAAATCACAATATAGCTTTCTTATTAACAATTAGTGTTCAGATGGACCTCAAGATTCAAACAAATGAACCATAACTGTAGTATAGATGTAAAATCCTACTTTTATAGATAAAAGTAAATTTTTTTATAATTAAGTACACTGTACAGCGGACGTGACTTTAAACATTCATGTTAACCAAATGTAGCTTTATTTTACATACAAACATACAGAACGTGACTTCAGAATAACAAACTAATAAACAAGCTGTTGTAATACTGATACCATCTATCTACATCATTGTTAATATCTATAAAAAAAAAACAATTTATTTTCTTTGAATAAATTGTAACATTATTTCAATAAATATTAACAAGAGCAAGAATGTGTTTAGTAAATACAAATGTCCGGACCCAGATTCTTGTCTCAAAAACAAATTTTCCAAAAATGTGAACATGGCATTCTGATACAGATTGTTAAAATATATTTTTAACACAGTTTTATAGCATGACAGGGTCACGACATTTTGTTATTGTGTAAACAATAAAGGTTGTACATGCAAAAGTGAAAAAATCTATTTTTAGCACTGGTGATCTTAACCTTGACCAAAATGACCCCTAACCCAAAGATAGAGAATTACACTAGGCATGTAATGCTTTAACACGAAAGACATCAGTTTATAAATGAAAACTGTATGAGCAAAAATGTAAAAGTCTATTTTCATACCAGTGACCTTGAGCCCCGTGATCTCAAACTCCACCCAAAGTTAGAGGACAATTAATGGTATCTACCACTACTTACCAAAAATGGAAAATATCATTAATGAAATGAAGTAGCTGAAAGAAATTTATGATACATCCAACTTGATGGGATATGTTGTCCTATTTCCAAAGTTTTAAAAAAGGAAATAGACTAAAAAAAGTACATGGCACAGTTATTCTGATACATGAACTTTGTACAGATAAATGTGTAAATTATGAAGCCATTTATTACGTACAGGTATAACTTTAGATATATCCAACTTGCTGGTTCAAGTTAACCAGGTATGGACAGAAAATTGGAAAGACTATTCAGTTAATACTATAATTAAGCTAGAGGGCATAAAAAATCACAAACGCTTAAATTCAGTGGTTTATAAAAGAATGCATAAAAAGACATTTTAATCTCTAAATAACTCAATGAAAATGGGCCTTAACTCAAGCATATAAGAATTAAGATTCTATTATTTAAGTCCAATAAGGCAAATAGACCATGCTCATAAGACTTATCTTCTACCAAACTCCTTATCAGGATCACACAGAGATGACCTTACGTCATGTGTCCGTGAAAATCAGAACGATGCTCGTTTTTGTGGAAGTCAGCAGCAGCAGCAGCAATTTAAAACACTTGACTATTCATTATTAACATTAATTATATATATAAAAACAAAGCAATTATCGTGAAATAAAAGTGCTATTTGGAAACAAAATCCATAGAAAACAAGAGATTGCCAAATAACGACCAGATGAGATTGATAATTATTGATTATCCTTTGGAATTATTGTGGCCGTTCTGGTTCAGCCATTTTCATCGTCAGATGGGCGATGTTATAAAGTCTGAGTGAAATAAATGACTGCAATCGAATGAATTTCGAATACATATGACAATATTCTGATATTGCTCAAAGCCTGAATGGCATTATTATCCTAAATGGATGATAATTTATGGCGTGAGCTAGGAAAATACTGGATAAGCCGTGTATATTGAATATTGAAAATTTCCTTCCTAACTATGTTGCTTCTTTAAATAAAGTCTTTATTATTATTATTTTTATTTTTATTATTATTTGTTCCCAAGGAATATTGATCTATCTTAAATTTACTATTTATTCCCTCTGTGAATTTGGCAAGAAAAATATTTATTATGAAATTGTCATACTGGCATTTCAAATATTATATTTTTATGTACATACTTATGTACTTAGGAGATTTAAATACTTAAAATCAAATTTTAAATTTTACTAGGCATTCTTACACTACCACGTGGGAGTACTTCAGAATGGCTAGTGGAACAGCAATTGACGAGGTACAATGTTTATCACCATCAGAAAGGGAAAGTGCACAACCCGGAAGCGCATCAAATGTAAACAAAATTGACTGTTTCATCCAAAAGGGAGAAGAGATTCTGGTGATGTTTGTTTCATTGATCCGATCGTTTGAAGGTCAAACCTTAAAGATCAAGGATCTAGCTACACCAGTGAGTGTAATCCTGGCAAATTTGAAGAGAAATATTGACATATCTGGTCAAGATGAACCGAGCAAATGGAGGAAAGTTTGCTCTACTGTCAGTATTTTGGACAGTTCGGATTCCGAAGGAGATATTGATGGACTCATGAATGAACTAGGTCCTTCACATCATACAGAAGACAGTGAATACCCATTAACTGATGATGTTTAAGTTGGACTAGACAATTGTTTTTGTGGAAGAAGAGGAAACTGGGCAAGCCATCAATGAAACTGTTGCAAAGGTGGTAAACAAATCTTGGTGACCAAACAAAATTGACAAAGAAAAAATTCAAGCCATACCTCAAAAATACAAACGACCAGCAAATGTGCAACAGCTGTAGGTGCCAAAAATAGACAATTTTCTTTGGAATCAGCTTGACACCAATGTAACATCAACAGACATTTCCAACCAACATATTATCAACGACTTCAATAAGGCGGCTGCACTTCTAGTAGCAGCAATGGATCATTGGATCATGATTATGCAAATGATCAGCCAGAGATTTCATTCATCAAAGAATGCATTGGTGACTCCTTCAAAAGTATCTGCAGCTCAATTGCCAAAATCAACAACCAGAGGCAAGATTCAGTTAGGAAGGAAAAATCTATGCACTAGCGAAACTAACACTAAGGCAACAGGGCTCATTGGTGACAAATTCCAAGAGCAGAGAAAGAATGCTGATTCCGGCTCAAAGATCAAGATGATTAATAAGGAGCATTTTTTAGGGAAAGACAGGGAGGGGGCAAAGGTCAGCTTCCCCTGAAGAGATCAACACAGCATCCACAAATACCAGTGACCCTAAACTGGAATCTTAATCAGCATCAAAAGAAGGAACACAAACACAACAACCATCAAGGACGCAACAAGAACTTTTATCAAAAATCAACGAAATACAGGGGGCGCTGTAAGGAATTAAATAATCTCTCAAGAGAGAAATGGTTCTAGTGTACTGAGAGGGACATACACTTAAGTGCAGCATATGTGGCAGGATCTGCAAATACGAAAGAAAACAGTTGTCTTGGATGTACTAGTAGTACTTGACTATCTAGATGACGAAGAGGATGAGTCATATGTCTTTTGTTTTTACTTCTTAGTGCTCAGAGGTGCCAGACACTTCATTTGATAAGACTACAAAATATTTTTATCAATTCAAAACAATTTACTATCTTGACTAATCAATTATTGAAACAGTCGCAGCAGAATTTCAACTGAAAACCTTTACCATTGGTTAATCATCCGAACAAGAGCGATCAGTGATCACATGTGTAGCCCCATGATGGCCAATTTCATGTTGGGACAAGTTTTGTGACAGACGGACAGACAGACGGACAGTGCACAACTAGACTTGGTACTGATCATTCCTGTAAAGTTTGGATAAAATTGCAACAGTAGTTTATGAGGAGTAGTCCGGACAAGCTTTTGTGTATCTGGCAACACACAGAAAAAACACCTTTTTATCAAAGGGCCATAACTCGGCCAAAAATCATTCAACTGGAAAACCCGTGCAATATGCCCAAGGACTTGAGCTACAGATCAATCCTGTAAAGTTTCATTGAAATTGCATTAGTGGTATAAGAGAAGTAGTCTGGACAAACTTTCAAAATAAAAATTATTAAAGGGCCATAACTTGGCCAAAAATCATTCAACCGGAAAACCTGTGCAATATGCACAAGGACTTGAGCTACAGATCAATCCTGTAAAGTTTCATTGAAATTGCATTAGCGGTATAAGAGAAGTAGTCTGGACAAACTTTAAAAATAAAAATAAAAACTATTAAATATGCACAACTAGACATGGTACTGATCATTCCTGTAAAGTTTGGATGAAATTGCACCAGTAGTTTATGAGGAGTAGTCCGGACAAGTTTTGTGACGGACGGACAGACGGACGGACAGATGGAGAGACAGATGACGGAGAAGTGATCCCTCTATGTCGCCACTACTCCGTAGAGGCGACACAAAAATGAGAAATTATGCATAGTCAAAACTTTTGAAGAATATTTAAGCAGGACAGAAGATCTGCGATATTTTAAAGATGGATCTTTGCATATAAGCACTCAAAGGATATATAAAGGTGTTTCAAAGGAAATAATTGCTTGGTGGGTCAAACAAATTCTAACCAATAACTGGCTCTGCCTTTACATTACATAGCATCAGAGCAGTGGCCACTAGCACAGCAAAGTTAAAAGGTGTTTCTCTTGACAAAATAACCAAAACTCCTGGATGGTCTAATGTTAGGACATTCAAAAGATTTTATGACAAACCGGGGCAAAAACGAACTATTCAATCAGCTATTCAGGATTAATAGACTGGGACTGGTTAATGTTGAACATTTAGAAGATAATGTTGTGCATGCACTTTGTATAATTATATTTCATATATTATATTAGTATAACAAACATAAAATTTAATTAAAAACATAGTAATTTTTTATAATTTGTTTGATTTTGCTGAAAATCAACTCTAAAATCTCTGTGTGATCCCTACAAGGAGTAAGGTAGAAGTTAAAATGTGAGTTTGATCGAGATTTTGTCTTTTATCAACTACTTAAGGGATTTTACACCCTCCCAACCCAACCCTATGGCTTGATTTTATGCTCAATGCTGCTGTTCAAGCATGAACGCCGCATGGAAAACCATGCAGATTCACGCTTGACCGATTATTCTAAATCAGAAGAATAAGCTAAATCATCTCTGTGTGATCACTTAAGGAGTTGGTAGAAAATAAAATCTTGATCAAAGTACAACTAACAGGTAAGTCTTGTTAATCTAATTCATTTACATAGTTTGTGCAGAGAATCAACTTAGACTTATCAAAAATCCCAGAAAAAATAGGTTAAGGAATAAAAATTGCTAAAATCAATCCCAGCAGAATTGTATCATTAACAACTACATGTTTAAGAACATTTTAAATAAAGTTTTTTTACAGCTAACAAAGTTTTAAGTAGATATTCATATATTCATATTCAATCAATCTTTAAAAAATAATTTGCAATTTTTCAAATAAATATACATGTATAATTATGTTCTTTAAATATTGGCAATTTTCCAAATTATGTTCTATTAATACAATATACGAGTATTGGCATTTTTTTATGACAGTCAATCACTTAAGACTAATGTTTTGTAACCTTCTAATTTCAGAACCAGGTTATCTATAAAGCAAATTTTTAATCGTCAACATCATCAGATTCTGATGATAATACAGGTAGTTCATGTAAAATATGTTCTCTATAAAACTGTTCATCCTCGTAACTATACGGGCTCGTTGCATCATCGTCACTGGCCGAACAATTGTTTGGTACATTGTGAAAATCCTGAGGTATGTAAATCATATCAGGCGTAATTCCTTTAAGAAAACTTTCTTGTTTATCTTTATCGGTTAATTCAATTTTTCTAAAAACCATACAATGTATATGCTCCTGTTTAATATAACGCCAACGTTTAAAACCTAAAGATTCGATCGCAATTTTCCAACTTTTCATCTGACTGGCGTTACGATTCTGATGCGAGGAATCGGGCGTTACTATAACCAAAATCCCGTTATACATGAGTAGTTCATGCGCTCGCTGGCAGCTGATCCAGCGTTGATATGGGGCAGGGAAGTATTCCAAAAGAAGAGAAAATACAACTACGTGGAACGACTCCCTTGGCAACCATTCTATGGGGTCTTTTAAATTATTTATAAATGTGGTCATAGTATCGTTGGCAACCTGTAAGGGGTCAGTTGTGTGTAGATGAAGAAAGTCACAGTGAAAAACACTCTGAAATGATATAAAGAGGATATATGAGCATAAAAATTTGATAATTTTAAACTTTTCTCATACATGCACAAGATTATCTCCATCACACATTCATATGATCTTTAGTAAGTTTCATCTACAATATAATTATTTGATGACCAGCACAAACAAAATTTCTTTAAATAATATTAATTTACTCAATATCTGATGTAGTTATCAATCAATTTATTAGCACCTGTCTGAGTTAAATGTACTGCCCCCCATCCCCAAGACATAGTTGGGAATTTAATTTTCAAAACCCTGGCGCTGCAACAGACAGACTGTTACATCCCCGCTACATGCCCCTACACTACAAGTTGGACATATCCCCACCATTTAAGTGCCCAAAACAAAACCATCATAATTATTGACATGGCAGTGAGCGTAAAGACATAAAATAAAAACATGGCCTACAGGGGAGGGTGGCATGGTTACAGTTGACTGGTATATAACAATATATTTTTCATTCATAAAAACAAATTTATCCTCATCATTTTCATGTACAGTCATAATACTTTTAATCTAGAAAAAAAAACACAAACCCTAAAGCAATTGTCAATCTCATTAGTTTTAATGATTTTGATAAAAATGGTTCTATCTATTTGTTTTGCTGACTTAATCAATACTTTACTTTTAATAATTATGTGATTTTCTAATTCACACTCCCAGCTCAATTCATGAAATGAAAAAAAAAAGATATTTGATACAAAACAATAGATACAATTTCGTTTCCTGCGGAGGTTAATTTGTTGTTTTTCAAACAATTTTAAAATTATACAATAACAGTTAAGGTTATAGAATGCATGTGACCTTCTAGGTGTAGGTAATTCTTCAGGCAAAGAACAAAATCCTACTTCATTTTAAGCAAAGTAAGCATTTTAGAGTAACCATTTAAGTGTAGAGTAACCATTTAAGTGTAACTGTGACCTTCCCAAAATAATAAACTATAGTAAATGTATCAAAACAGCAATTTTAGATATGTTGGCAAAATAAACACAGCAAACTTATTATTGGTAATTCAAGTATAAAAATGCCATGTACAGGGGGGTGATTCATAATATTTGATATAATTTTGAAATTTAATATTATATTCAAGATATGATAAATAATTCAATGACATGAAATGTGCAAAACATGAAAATGAATATTTCCAAGGGAAGGAATGCTGATTTAGCAAAATAACATTTTTAAATTTGGGGATCTTTTACTAGGTACATATTATACTTTCTTGTCATTTAACACTGCATGTACTTAGTTATGGTAGGAAATGGATTCACAGTACATACTAGTTGATTTTAAAACTATTTGCCATTCAAATGTGTTCTGAAAAGAACCTGTTTTATCTATGTCTGGATAAGAATCAATTAATCATTTTCACATACATATTGCCATATTAAGCTATGTTGTCATCATAAACCCAAATTAGTTACTTCCCCTGAAGTTAATGTCTACATTTAATTTCACAATATTTTCCTAAATCCAAACCTAATGACAAGGGAAGGTCTTCTTCACAAACATTCTAACTCAATGAAATAAATGTTCGTACTTTACAGTAATAGGAGGATATTCTGTGACTACATACATGTACTAGTATCTAGTACATTTTGTGATGCTGAGACTTTATTTCTAGATAAATTGCACATAGTACATTTATTTGGTCATGTATGGTATAATGAGAAATTCAAAATGGTGCATTTATTTGGTCATATATGGTATGAGGAGAAATTGCAAATGGTGCATTTATTTGGTGAGGAGAAATTACACATGGTGCATTTATTTGGTGATGTATGGTATGAGGAGAAATTGCAAATGGTGCATTTATTTGGTGAGGAGAAATTGCACATGGTGCATTTATCTCGTGATGTATGGTACAGTGATAAATTAAAACAGATATTTTATCATTTTTATGTAAATATTCATGAGGAATTAAATCTGTTACCTCTGTAGCAGGGCTGATATCTATCCCTACAGCTTGAAGCTCCTCAAACTCCAGGAACGGATTAAAACAGCTTCCAACATCCAGTAGTCGTATTCTACCCTTTACTGGTACATCTCTAAAAATATAGAAATAATAATTGAGCTGTGCCATGACAAAACCAACATAATGGGTTTGCTGTTATTCATTTAAGTAAGACTTTTTATAATTAAAAAGGAAAAAAAGAAGATTTGTTTGTTTGTTTGTTTTGGGTTTTACGTCACATCGACACAGTATAGGTCTAGCGCGACGTTCCAGCTTTACTGGTGGAGGAAGACCTCAGGTGCCCTTCCGTGCATTATTTCAGGCACGAACGGGTACCTGAGTAGAACCACAGACGTTCTGTAAGCTAGCTGGATAGCTTCCTCACATGAAAGAATCCAAAGTCCCTGTTGGGATTCGAACCCACAGCAGTGAGGGGCAAGTGGTTTGAAGTCAACGACCTTAACCATTTGGCCACGGAAAAAAAGAAGAAGAAATATTGTATGTTTTAGTTTATTAAAACAAATATGGTAGCCAGTCTTGTTTGTGTAAATTCATTGATAGAAAAATTTGAACATGATAAAACAGTTTCAATGGGCATTCCATGGAGAAAAAATGGGAGCATTTTCCTCATCTTTATGATATCTAGGTAGTTTTATTGCTACACATTTAATGATCATTCTTGCAAAAAAAGAAGGGAAAAAAACAGGAGAAAAGCTATTTCTAAAAATCTTTTAAATCTACAGGGATTCTTGTTATAATTAAACTATTATGTTAACAGTTATGCAGTTTTTTCCTATTCATCTGAAAGTTAGGATGAACAAAATGATGTAAACATAAACAAACAAAAAAAAGATAGCAGTGTTGCATTTAAAGAGTTCCATTCAGCTCTAAAAGTCTAGAAGATAAAAACTTGAAATTATCATATATCAGTTAGGGTGTTTAAAACAGAAAAATGTGCAAAAGATAGCACATTAATATACTCAGATTATTTAAAGTGAAAATCCTATGTTCCTGTGATTCATGGCCCTAGGTTATAAAGATTTTTTTCTAGGCTCAAACTCAAATCTCAGGTATTTGATTGGTCAGAAACCAGCACAGAATGCATGACAGAACTCAGAAAAAAGTTTTATAACCTCAAGAACTGGGGTTATTTTTCACAATTTAAATGATTACTGTGTCAGAAAAAAGAGGGGAAAAAAAGAGCTGATCTGAAAACCTCAGTCACAGTGAAGTCTAAACCGTTACACTATTTAATTATGTTGTTGACTAAATCTACATGTATAATTATGATTGAGGAACTGCAAAGTTTGTGGAAATATTATAAATACAAGGTAAAATTCCAGACAACACTCATTCCAGCAGATGTAACTTGCAATAGACTAAAGAAATGATTGTTCTTGAAATGTAATAATACTGTCAAATACAATGACCTAAACCTATTATGTTTGTTGTTTAGAAGAAAATCATTGATTTACTCATGGTTAAGTAAGTTTTTTATTTAAGAGGTCAATGGACCACAAGTTGGGTTGAAGAGTTTGAGTTATCCATTCATGGAGGATGAAGAAAGGCATGAAGTTCAGGATCTACAATGAGTTTTATATATAGAAGTCCAAAGTGTTTGAGCAATCCAAGATTGAGATATTAAATTTTAATTGTAGAAAATACCCATGAAATTGATTGACATTATTTTTTATGTATAAGCTTTTATGTATAAGCTTAATCCTAGACAAGTAGAATCACTTTTAAACCACTACTGTTGGAATTATGTTTCTTCAGTCATATCCGAAACTAAAGATTTATTGGACAGAACCATAACTAGTGAACAAATTTAGTTTCTCCTGATGAAATTAAGAAACAATAAGAATGACACATTATACAGCTAATGTGTAACCAGGGAATTTCCATGAAAATAAATAAATCATCAGTAGCAACTGTTTATTAAGAAGGGGTCATCAACACTGTCAAGGTCACATGACGGCTTTTGAGATTAACTGTTGTAGGCTGTACCTCAACTGCCCCTCCACACATTATTTCAAACAGACCTCCATTAAATGGAACCACTAACCTTTGGTAAGCAAGCTATTAATAGCTTCCTCACATAAAAGAACCCAATGTCCATGGAAAGAGATCAAATCCGCAGCAGTGAGGGAGCAAGGTGGTTCCAAGGCAATAGACTTTAACAGGGGATATGTATATATACATGTATATAAATGGAAGCACAATAACCTTCTGTAAGCAAGCAAATAGCTTCCGCACATGAAAGAACCCAACGCCCATGGAAAGAGATCAAATCCGCAGCAGTGAAGGTGAAGGTGGTTCCAAGTCAGAGACTTTACCAGGGGGCGCTACATGTATATACATGTATATTATGCATATATTAAGCCATGTGTTTTGAGATTGCCCGATTATGACAGATTGTTCCCAACTGTTTACACTCCATGTTTACCCAATCAATACGGATAAACAAAAACTGATCTGTTAACTTTATTTGTTTATCTGAGTCAACATTCCCCACTTCTGCCTATCTAAACTTCATTATAACAAAGTGCAATTATAACAAAATGAAAAAAAATAATTGTTTTTTGTTTTTTTATCACAATGAGATGTTATTGAACAGAATGACAATAGAAATTTATCTTCAAGGATACAATGTATGTAGCTTCATATAACCAACTCTACGCAATTTTTTTCAGTTATACAGTCCGCAGCATTATACATGTATATTGTCATATACAATGTAGCAAAATGCCCAACTTTCTGATGATGATGGTTTTTTGGTATGACCCTGCTGCAGACCAAACCCATGACCTCTGGCATAACAGACAGACAATCTAATTTAAGTTACCAACTTTGATAGGTTGGAGGCTGCACTTATTTTAAATCAACAGATTTGCCATTTCCAGGGCTTGCACTTAATACTACATTAAGAGAAACTATAGCTAATGCAAGGGGCTTGGACTTCAGCTATTTCAAGGGACTGAGTTCACTAACACAACATAAGATTAAGTGGGCTCAACATGAAATCAAGTGGCTGTTGTTTAATTATATTTCCAGGCATCAGTTTGATACCAATTCATGTGCTAGGCTTTCCATGACTTCCGCTTGATATCAAATCAAGAGGCTAAAGCTTATTATCAGTTCTTCTGCTTGATATCAAATCAAGAGGCCATAGCTTATTTCCTCGACTACCACTTTATATCAAGTCAGATTTTTTCTAGATGCTTAATATCAAATTAATAGGCTATTTCTTATTTCTATGACAGTTGACTTCCACTTGATACCAAATTAAAGGACTAAAGTTTATTTCCAGTTCTTCCGCTTGATACAAAATCAAGAGACTAAATTTAATTTTCAATTTTCCACTTATTACCAAAGCAAGAGACTATATAAGCTTATTTCCTGTTTTTCTGCTCTTGATACCAAATCAAAAGGCTATGGCTTATTTTCATGACAGTTTTTATGCTTTATACCAATTCTTAATTCCATGGCAGGGCTTTTGCTTCATAACCAATCAAAAGTATTGTAGCTTATTTACAATTCTTCCACTTGATACCAAATCAAGATGCTATTGCTTATTTCCAGTGTTTCTGCTTGGTACCAAATCAAGGGTCTACAGCTATTTAGCATAAAAGTGATAAACTAGCCATTTCCAGAGATTGGGCTTAGTAAGATATCCAGAGGGTTGGGCTTGTGACCAATTTGCTACACATGCACTGTCAAATTTAGTATACATAAACATTAGTGTTACTGTCAAATTGTTATGCCAATATGTACAGAGATTTTTTTTGCCTTATTTTATAGCCGATATTCGGTCATATTCCCAATCGAAAATAGTATATGATTTTCCCAATCCACAGAAAAAATTCCCAATTCCCAAAATATTTGATAACAAATTCTAAAATCTTGGAAAATAAGGACTTCTTCACTGTTATGGTGTTTAATAGTTTGAAGATGCCTTCCTAGACAGTTATTCTTTGCATTCATTTAATCACTGCTAAATTTAAGTCATGCAATTTTTCCCAAATTTTAACAAAACATCGCTGAAATTCCCAATTCCATGGGTATGGGTCATGTTCCCAAAATCCTGGGAAAAAAACCCTGATGTATTAGTCCATCTGTAACTTTAGGGAGAGAAAAATTGCATTTTAATGTTACATTAATTCTCTAAAGTGTAAAAGTTGAAAACTATTTGCTATCTACTAATAATCTTTTTATAGTTCAAAATGTTTACATAAAAATGTTTGAATTCAAAATAATGGTATCATTAAACAAGCCTATGTACTTTAGCACCTGCTTACTTACTTTTTTCAATGTAACCTTCTCATATATATATCATATGCAATTAAAATATTTATGATTAATATTCTAAAAATAATCTCAATAATACAATTCGGTTAAAAAATGGAACATCGAACTTTTTACTCTGCAATAAATCAAACATTTGTTTAGGCACTTCAACAATCATTACATGTAATTTAGTCTTTCTCCTAAACCATATGAGATTTCAAAATATTCCCCTCGTTTCCACGGCAACCAAGAAATGTAAACAACACAATTATCTCAAAACATAAAATGTAAACAATCCGAGGAGAAAAGTGTAAACAAAAACATCAATGCCCCTGGTAGGATTTCGCTACTTGATGAAAATTTAATCCCCCATAGTCTGTTTGTCAATTTATATGTGATCGATACAAATATAATCTAAATAAAGTTGTTTGGAAACAAACAGGACTATTACTCTTCTATCACAGTTTTTGAGGCAAAAAAACAAAGGAGAAGTTCTCAAAGAGAAATTAAAACAATAGAGGGTGTGCAAATTATCCTTCCGATTCAACTTTTTACCCTTAATGATCAATTTGCCATAACAGACTATCTGAGGTAAGCTACTTTCTAAATTGACTTTTTATTGATAATTATTATGCCACCATGCTGCTAGTAAATTAACAGCTTTATAATTTAACTATGTACGAGAAAAAAAAAAAACAACAAAATAATGTTAATTGAATAATTCAGAGAGAGAAATGTACTAAAATGTCCGTAGACTAATTTTAGAATCATAGTGTTATAGAAATATTATTCATAGAATTGCTTTGC